TAAACAGTGGGCATAGAGTAACAAGGCAACCCTCTTAGCCAGGCAAAATTCCTTCCCACCCTTAGGTGAATTGGCAATATCTACTTTTGTAATATGAAAAAGGCTTTGCTTGTCAGGAATACAGAATACAATATAATTACAAACTAGCAATGTGTAAGTGTCAGGCATGGATATTTTGTGGTCACTTTAAACTGTTTAACATCTAAACCTGCCATGCAAATGTGTACCATGTATCTACTGTATTAATGGAACTAAATATTCTAATATAGAGATCATGATGATAGATATCACATACATTACATATACATGTCAGATTCCAGAAAATTACAAAGGAATGCTTTACATATCTTATATAAAGAAAGAAAGAAAGAAAATAAAGATGAAATTATACTGTTCATCTAAATGTACGTGTATGTATGTCTACATATGTAAACACATTCACCGCTAAACTTGGTTTCATGTATGTATAATGTAAGGATGAGAAGTGATCTGTTTCATAGCATACCTGATTCTGCCTGAGGAGGGATGTACACAGCAAACTTCATCTGACATCCCAACTCTTTACTGTGAAAAAATTAGTGATGAATTTTTTATGGGGATAAATCAGCATATTTAGATTAATATTTGACTTCCTGCCAGAAAAAAACACTGCCTTTAAAAAAAATCTTCCTTGATCACTTTTCCTAGCATCATTTTTGGGATTCTCTTTAAAAGGACCACCAAACACTGAGGGTCTAGTGAAGTAATACCTATGTTTTCTTTATGTAAGCTGCGATACCCATAGGCATTTAGTTATAGCAATTTGATGAGACAACTCTATATAATGTACAATGGTCATATATACATACACAAGTTCTAGGCAACGTCACAGTAAAAGAAATATACATATGCAATATCAACATAAACTCAATACAAAGATAATGGAAAAATATGCAAAGGTGATTATTTTTAAAGTAAATTGTGTAGATTTATTCACACTAAAACGCTCCCTCAAGAAATTAATAAGTGTGGTGGCTTACCGTACTTAACTTCTATATCTAGGTCATAATACAGATATGGGTATCAACTTGATCTATAAATATTCAAAATATATTTCAGCTTAACTCTGACCTGAATTACCCTCCCATGTGGGCCAGACCCCTTATATAAATAGTACTTTCTATCATGAGCATTCAACTTTTCATCAATTTTTGGAAGGCAAAAGAACTAGATAGGTGTCTTCACATACTTATGATGAAAATTAAGTTAATGATCCATATCTAAATAAAAGGAATAAAAGCAAGTTAAAAGACAACCAGTGCATAATATTCTCGCTCACCTTTCATGAGAGTAGACTTTCTGGAAGCCTCCAAAGACCTTGTTGGAACTTTCCTCTTTAATGCTTGCCATGATGTTAGACCAAATGAAATGCAACTGTTGGGGAAGACAGAGAGGGAAACAATAACAGGACAATTCCTTTTAATGCAATACTAAAAGGAGAAAGTTTCTTGTAATACAATGCACAAATCTTAACTAAGGGTAAAATGAGGTACTGACTAACATTCCCAGTAACGATAATCATTCATACCCGTGAAAATTCAATAGCAAATCAGATATCTAGTTAAATGCTGATAAAATATCATATAATTCACATTAACCAATACTCTTAGCCTATGACAAAAACAGTATGGTAATTATCCAGATAATTAACACATCAAGTGATGCCATGGACTCCCTTCTGTGCATTATGGCAGAAGCCAACAAAACTGCTATAAATTTTCTTGTAAGACAGAGGTTGTTGCCTTATTCTGGATGATTACCAATGGTCTATTATCATCATTACTTACACTTCTAACAAAGCTTCTTGTAGCAGAGATCATGACATAACCTGAATGCAAGTTTGTAATCAATTGATGCTATATGACAAAAAATGGCATACTATCACCTTATTTAAAAACCAATACAGTATATACAGTGTATGTCTACATAGATACATACATACACATATATGAATACATGTACTACCACAAATATATGTATATACATATGCATACAACACTCTACCTATATCTATATGATTTCTTTCTCTCTATATCTATATATTCATTTTTTCACTCTATATAAAGCATTATTTAAGATTATTACAAAGTGGCTTCCATAATATATAGTTTATGGATTCAATAGACTGATGAAAACTAAGACACTTTTCTTATGACATTGTTAATGTTGAAATTAAAGACCAAGAAATATGCTTATCCTTCCCATTTGCTTTCCATATGCTGATATGACCAACTACAGTAATAAATTGACTAGTATAGCTTTTTTCAATATCTGGTATGCCTACTTATATCCACTCTGATAGAAGTATTTCCTCTATATCCTATGAACTATATCAATTTGTCTACAAAGGCTGCATCAAGTAGTAAGGCCACTCTCTACAGTCCCATAGGAAATGCACACACTGATATATAAAGGAATTTATGAACCACAGCACAACTGGCTCTAAGAACAAGAGGGCTACATATCAATCAATTGGCAGCACCTCTTCCTGATGAAGCACATTCAATAGATTTTTTATTGTACCTACAAACCAAATGTAATCCTAATGAATAGTTTCAAAAATTATGTGAGGAGATCCCTCTTCTGCTTTGCATTCCTTTGGAAAATACAGAATTCTTCTGTGCACTATAAAGATTACGCTTGAACGGGAGGGTTTGTAACACTACCGTGATGCTCAAATGCAAACACTGAGCCATGTGAGCTTTTTGTGGTTTAATTTTTGTGGTTTAAACATATTCAGAATGAGTTTTCATGTTCTAGTTTTTAAAAAAGTCTTCTATTTACCTGTATATAGCCTGTGTATAGCATATTTTCATTATTAGTTCAGCAGATTGACTTATAAGTCAAGAAGTAGTTATTTGTTAATGAGAGTAACGATGTCCCAAAACCAGACTTAGGTGTCATGCAAACCCGAAAATACAAACCTAACTTTTCCTACCTTCAATTTTTTTCCTAGAAATGGGGGGGAAGCTCCCCTGTAACTCCCATTATTAGCACTTTGTGCCAACTTAAAGACAATGCAACATTAAAAACTTTGGTTGTGTGAAGGTGTTGTGGACTTAGTCCCTCAACAGTGATATGCAGTGGATATTATTGTCAATTATGAGGCCACAGCAGCTATGTTCCGTGTTATTTATGACTATTAAATTCTACAGGATGATGGTGTCCATTTCCTATTATCTATGTAAGTCGTTCTCGGCAACATAAACCAAAAGAGAGTCGTAAACAACACAGTTACAGCTGCTGTGGCTGAAAGAGGTTGAAAGAGCTGCTATAAGAACCATATTTCTATATCTGGTAATTTTTAAAAATAGTTCTGCCAAATGGATTTTGACAATTTTGGTATCAATGGACTTCTCTCGCCCTTTACAATGCAAATATGTTGATTATATTGCATAGAAATCCCCTCATTAGAGACAAACTTGGTCCTGATAACAGGGGAGGGCATGAAAATACCAGGTAAAATATGAATATACACATAGTCACTATATTGTCTAATGCAGGGGGCTGTGCCCCTGCATTAGGTAATTAGACATGTGAACCCCCATAAGATGCTACCGCCCCCCATCCCCCCCATCTAGGAAAACAGAGAATCCTCCAAGTATTCCTGGCAGGAGAGTGTCGGATGGACTTGGCAACAGGCACTCCAGCATGACAGTTGAAGGCTCTCTCCTGCCATGAATATGTGGATTCTTTGTTTTCCTGGGTGGGGGTAAAGGGACGGCAGCTTCCATGGCATGGTCGCAGGTGGCACAGCCCCCTGCATTAGTGACCAGATCTGTGTATATTATTCAAATTTCATCATATAGTTTTCTTGGTACCTTTCAAGCCATCCCCTGGTGTCGGGGACAAGTATATCAATAATTTGGAAACTAGAGAGTGAAAGGAATCCATTGATGCCAAAATCAGCATAATCCATTTGGCATAACTATTCCAAAATATTACCCAAACAAAATTCTCAATTTGCACAGGAAATGTCTTGGTTTCAATATATCATAACCTTATCCTGGTGATCATGGAACTCACTGTCATACAAATAAAGCTATAATTCAATTTCATGTCACGTACCGAAGACTTTGATAGTTTGTGAATTTAGTAATTAGATCTCGAATCAAATAACAGGACTGCATTGGCCTGGTGATTTGCGAATTTAATAAAGAGATCTCGTATCAAATAATAGGACTGCAATGGCCGGCATATTAGCTTGGCATTGTCAAGTACACTGCATATTCCTTTGCAAGTTGCACAACCACGAGAACATGCTGGATCAACCATAACATGATTTGCATAACAGCGACAATGTACTTAAGTCTACGCTCCAACTTCTTGGCTTCGTGAATCCTCTTACTCTTTCCCTGTCCTTTTTTTAATAAAAATTATCCTGCCGAAGGAGCCGACCTTGAAACTTACCCAGCGCCTGTGCCCGGGAGTGGCCGGTTACCCTTATCTGCCTTATCTGTGACCATAGAAACTGAGACCATGTGTGTCGATAACTCTAACCCCATCGACGGCATGCTATGTTTCTGAAAAGTATGAATTGTGAGAAGATCACCGTGGCGAAAGAGAGAAATTCTACCGTAAACTTTTGACTTGAACTCCTGCAGCTGCACGTCACAACACTCGGCGGCGTTCCCGTTTTCTCTGACCGAACCGTTTGTTTCACCGTTGATTATACTTCGGAAGTCAGGATGAATCATATATATGACCATCGCAGTAGTTCCAAAAGGATTTTTGAAAAAATAAGGGAAAGGAGAAAAAGGACTGTTAACATCTCTTTAAATGTCAGTTATTGCCACAGAGACGTTTCCTCTTCGCTGATATGCGTTACAGCCTGCGCCATTGGGAAATTGCAAAACAGCAAGTAAATAAGCCCCTTTTGTGTCCTTTCGGAAAGGTGTGGCCCCAGTAGCAATTCCGAACATTGCTGGCCCGTGGCGGCGGGCGGCGAGCGGGCGGGGGCGGCTGCTGGAACGCAGCGGAGCGAGCGAGCAATGTTTGGTGGGCATCCATGATGGCGGCCAGTGTGCGGCGCTCCGCTCGGTGTTCTGTGTAAGGCAACGGCTCAGCGCGGAGAGGCGGCGACCAAGCATGAAGGGAACGCGCGGGTCACGGCGCCTCGTCTTGTGTGCAGTGTCTATAGACAGATAGTAAGGGAGACCATGTCCTGGGGCGGCGGCGGAGGGAGGCTGGCGGCGGGAGGGCTCCATGGGGATGGCTACAACCAACCCCATCACCAGCAGCAGCAGGTGGGCGTGGGCGTGGACGTGGGCGTGCAGGAGGTGATAGCGCGGGCGCTGGAGACGTGTGAGACCCACCACCAGTTCATCGCCTCGCAGGCAGAGCACCTGGAACGCCTGAGGTCGCAGTGTGCCACCAGCGCCCAGCTCACGCAGCAGGAGATCCGCACGCTCGAGGTGAGCCCTGCCCTCAGCCTGGCCCTCGGGCACCCTAGCACACCCTTTCCTCCTCGAGGCACCCTCGCCAACCGCGCCTCGGGGCCGCGCCCCTCGGCCCTCGAGGCTCGCCCTTTCACTCTTATCTCGCCCTGCCTCACCTTGCCCCACCTCCATGTGTCACCCTTGACACTTGAGGCGGGGCCCTTCCGCCCTTCCTTCTCCCTTTCAGTCTTTATCTTTGCCTTTCACTCCTGCCCTTTCACTCTTATCTCACTCATCCAAACATTCCTTTGCTCCCCTGCTGTGTGTCACCCTTGACACTTGAGGTGGGGCTTTCACCCTTGCCTCTGCCTCTCCCTGTCTTTCATTTTCATTCCCATCTCACCTTTACCCAGTCTCACTTCCTGCATGACAACTCATGACACTATAGTAAGGCTTCTGCATCTGTATTTCACCCGTTCCATCATGTCTGAGCCTCACCCTGCCACACCTGTCACATAGTTTGAGCCAAGGCCAAGTCAGGAAATTTTTAGAACATGACAACCAAGGTCTTCATCACTGACCATATCCTTGTTCTCTTTTTACATGTTTTGGTGAATTTGTATTACCTCCAACTTTCAATTGCTTTTCAAATCATTAGTTTTCATGTTAATATCCTTTGCCACAGCCAGCAAGTTTGACAACCACGGGTATTTAAATTTTTCAAGGAGGGATATAAGCTTTGTACTTTGTACTTTATTTCTGTCTAATGTAGAACATTTCGGTATAAAAAGATGCAAAATATGTTTGTAACGTGTATGTGAGGAGCAATCCAGTGGAGGCAAACAAAAATCTGCCTAATATATTCTGCAACACAAATCTTTTTTGATGATAAATCTTACCAGGTTATTTTCATAATATGAGCCGTATCACATAGCTCGTATAACCACTTACTCCTGCTATGCCTTTTATGCTTTCTTCCATGTTGACAAAAATAGTGATGTATTTCAAATATTTGGCACAAACTCCAGGCCAAGAGCCAAATGAAATGGGTCTTGTGATTGGCATATTATTTTATGGATACTTTGGGTCGGTAGTTGCCTCATTCTGCTGATTTTCTGTTTAGGCAGGAGGTCAAAGCAGATGCTGAGGTTGTTATATTTCCGTGTTTAGTAACTTCATAGTTACTGATGTTGATGAAAATGCCAAAGATGTAATGAAAAAACTACTGCTATTTCATTCTTTGTTATAAACTAATCACCATTTCATGCTTTGTTACCAAATGAACTTGCAGTGGCTTACAAAATGGTACTACTTTTTCATAATTGTAGTGGCTGTGCTCTATCCAAATCACTTGAAAATGACTTATCTGGGATGGAAGACCTGGAATCTCAAGTCCAACCTGACGGCTATTCACTGTTAAGCAATGGTTATGGCCTCCGTGACTTTGAGTTTTGATTTACAAGCTCGTTACTTCCGAAATCACAAGTTGAGGTTTGCTGGTCACTGCTCGAGGTTCCAGTAATTGTCCGATAGACCAGTGGCTGACGGGTGTTAATGCTGTTGAACACATATCCTTCTCTCTCTTACAGTTCCTTTCATTATTTTATCATTCATTCACTAACATTAGCTTTTCACCTCTTTAGCTCTTCCTTTTGTTACTTGCATGCATACTCTCTCAGGGTTTCCTTGCTTTTTTGCATTCTTTTTTCATCTTTTAACTCTTGTATAACCGTAGATAAATGTGGTTTAATCAATTTGTTCATGTCTTTGCCTTTCTGAACCTAATTTAGATATAATTTTCTTCTCTCTTCCCTAGAACCTCCATAGCCTACAGAATTATTAATTTGCATAGTCATAAAATTATTAAGATATTAAAGAATATATGGGACTACTATGATTATTGCACATTATAAGGGGACTAGGAATAGTTATTTTTAAAGCCCTGACTGAAGTATCCTATGATCTTGGGTAAAATGAAGGACTTCCCGTAAGTTAAAAAGAAATATTTGTATATGAAGTATCGACAAAGAATTACCAATCTCAGAGAATATTTGTTTCATAGTAGAGAGCCATTCCTGATGTAGAAATTAGCCATGTTTTGACAGACCTCAATACCCAATAAAAATCTAACGGAATTTATGAATTTTGTGTACTGCCAGGGAATATGACATGACTGCTGTGTAGGAGCTTCTAAGGGAATGTGCTCAGTGCTTATGGACATTGAAATGCAATTTAGATATTAAACCTCGAACAGCAGTTGTTGACTATCTTACTGTTATCCCCTAAGATTTGCCCTTGTTTATGTGAATAAAATTCCCTCCCATGTTCTAAAGAATGAAAAAAATATGGAAGGCAAGTGAGAGAGACTGGGAAAGAATGAGGCTTGTGAATGAGAAGCATACAGGTTCGGAACAAGTAAACCTCCCCCTTCTCCCATGAACTTTGAGGGATAAGGAGGGGATCAATGATTACTAAAAATATTTAGCCTATGCAAACTACAAGAAACTTAAGTTGGTAAAAGTGATACTTTTGCAAGCTTTTATAAATGTCTAAGTATAAACCCATGCTCTTATTGAAATAGTAGATATGATCGGAGAATTTCCTTATTTTCCGCTCAAGACTTGCTCCCAACATTGAAATTACTAGTGTTACACCCTTCAGTTTAACCCACCCGCGCCGGGGTACATTTTGTAGCCAAAATTAAAAAAATCCGGGAAGCTACAAAATCGGCGGGCGGAGCTTCCCCGGAGTCTGTCCGCCCGCCGGGCCGCCCGCCGCTTTTGCCGCGGAGCACGGCTCCGAGACAGCATCGCACTGGCGGGCAGCCCGAAACTGTTTATTTTTTCCCTGTGTCTCATATATGTGACACTCGGGACGAATGGGTTAAGAATCATGCTCTTGAGAATTAGTTACCATGTGATATATGCTGCTTATTTATTCTTATATTCACTTATATATGCAAAATAAGTAAATGTTCTTCCTTGTAAATATAACAGGTTAACAATTAACCTCCTCTAAATGCCCTTCCCAATACCTAGCTCATTGTTGTCATGGGGGGATTAGGAGACAGAGACTGAGGCCCAAGGTAGGGGATCACCCCTTCCTTTGGCCTCAGTCTTCACTTCAATTAATTTTGCTTGGTCTTCTCTTCTCCTTTCCTCTTCCATATCTTCTTCATCCCCTTCTTCGGTCCCGTTTGTAAGGGATGAGAGCCATGCTGAAAGGATTTTACTGGCTTTGTGTCTGTCATGAACAGCCTCTGGGAGCCATGGGCTTGGTATTCTCTTGTTTAATTGCCCTTATCCCTTTTTGGGACCCTGAGGGGTGGACTGTTTCTCTTCCCCATTTTATTCAGACTCACCATGGCCAGTATTGAAGATATTTTACCCTTAATAAGGGCATAAGGCTTGCCCTTTCATCAACTAGCCCATCTGAATTTGATTTTGGTGGTTTTCTGACCCTTGCCCCACCTTTGACCATGGCTCTGACCGCTGATGCTAATACCCCCTCATTGATGTTTACTGACAACTCTATCCATTCCAAACCACCCACTCAGGTTATTACTCAACCTCCAGAATACACCCCTTCCTCTCTCCCAATATTCTCCTCTCCATCTCTTACTGCACAGTCTTTTGTGATTATCCTCTCGTCCCTTATAACTACTATTCATCCTTATTGTCCTCCCCCTCACAGAACTACACCACTCCACAATACCCCAACTTCCTCCTGCCCTGCCCATGTCTTTCTAGTGCCTCTGCAAACCTTTTGAGTACTCTCTTTAGCCCTGCCAAATGGGATTGTTGTTTTGTGATTCCCCCCCACAGCCCCCTACTCTGAGAATATCCTTCTTGTTCAACAGCGCCTCCAAAAACAAATAGGCAAAGTTACCTCTGATCGTTCATGCCTTGTCACAGTTACATCTGAATCCCAAGATTGTACACTATCTACCCAAACTGACCTCAGTGGCAAACCCATTCCTGCTGAACCTCACCCCTCTCTTGATACTTGTACTGGAACTGTTTCTATCCCTTCAAATACTTGTCCTATCTACAACAAAAACTTGTCTGACTGTGAAAATGACCTACTTACCTGCTTTGCTGATTATGATGCAGTAGCAGTACAGTGCTACACTATTCCTCCCAGAGGCCAGCGTAAGTCCTATGTCAATATTGCCAAGATTAGCTTCTATAGACATGACATCCCCCATGAAGTTTATATTGGTGGATTATCCATCTATGTCTGACCATATCATCCCCTTCCTCATCAGGGTCAGAAATATTGGCATTTTGGCCACCCAGCCAAACACTGTAACTCCACAGCTTGCTGCCCTCTATGTGCCCTACCTTGTTATGACCGTTCAGATTGCCCTGCTCAGTCATGCACATGTGCCAACTGACTGTGGAGACTCCTGTAATGTAATTTATAGGAGCTACTCTGCCTATAAGCTTGAATGTCAGGTAGTAGTCCTCAGATACAAACTAGGCCTTACTCTATGTGATGCCAGACAGGAAGCAAGACATACGTTTTTCTCTCTCAAATTATTCCAAAACAGTCTATCGCTCTGCCCCCCCTCCTCCACAAGATATTTCTGCATATCCCTCAGTATCTCTTCCCTATACAATGAACCATCCTACCTTTACTTGCCCAATCCCCCTGTAAAATTCCTTTTCCAGTTGAAGTCTAGATACTCTAATCTCTACCACTTCCCTGATACCTACCCCTCCTCCTCACTTTACTTGTTGCCCAAGGGAATCTAAATATTCCATTCCACCCTCTCCTACCACATCCTCTCCTACACCTTTCTCTTCTTCTGCTCCTCAGATATCTATCCTCTCCTCTCCTCCTTACAAGAGAACCTTTGTTTCTCAGGCCTCTTTACCCACCTCCCTTCCAGAAACTCTTGAAGACATCCAAAACTACCTAAAGATGGCCCAAGGGAACACTCTGCTCCCTCATCCACCCTCCAATCCCTCTGTTCTTCTAAACATAAAGAATTTGCCGGTATCCATCCACCTTCTCGAGTTTCCTCCTACACC